CTCTCTGGGTTCAAAAAAATGTCTTGAAATAATGACATAAAGAAATGAATGTAATGCTACTAATTTGTTGGTCTGTGTTCACTTGCAATTTCATTTTCTTGATCGGAAATCATTTTTCAGATTGGATTTGGGATTCTTCTAGACCTAGTGAAATATTGTATGCCTTGAATAGTCACAAATTGACCAGATATGTATCTCCAGCTTTGAATAAATAAACATTGCATTAAAAATGGTTAATAATTCCCTGGATTTCTATTACCCAAAAATTTAATAAATGATTTTAATTCTTCATACTTTTTCGCTGAATTTGAAAACTGCATACACCTTTAATACGATATTTTCATAATCAACAGACAATGTCAGACATTCTTTGCAGAGTTATAAATATGCGATATTTTTCCAACAATAACTTCCAATGCACCAAGTCATTTGCAACGTAATTAACACATGCGTTATCAGCGCCATACGCAAAGACATTTTTTGAAAATTCAGGACTACTTTTAATCAGTACGAGACAATTAAGTCTGGACTGGCACAGAATCCTAAAATTCATCCTCTTAGAAATCTCTGATTTTGGTTCACAAACCCTTTTCAACAGTAAATTACTGGATTACGTTTTTAATTACCTTTGTTGGATACATCAGTAGCAACTGTTTTAGATCATTAACAATCAACTATATAGATAAAGGACGTAAAACATTATTGACATTAGCAGATGCTTTAGCTTTTTTTTAATTTTTACTTTTTCCATATTAATTTTTACTTAAATATGGAATATCAAAAATATCTCTTTACAATTTAAAACATGCCCAAGCGTGAAATTGAGCTTCGCTCTTGCATAAAATGGTATAAATCTTTTATACATTAGTTCAAATCTTCAAATAAAACTCTCTGTGTGCATTAGGACTAGCATTCATCAAAAGTTCGTTAAAGTTGCATGAAGTGCAACACGTTCGTATTGCAGCGAACTTAAATAGAAACATACATATTACGAATAGTTACCAAACTAAGACAACAACTGCATCAACCTGTGCAATAGCCAGAATTGGCATCAGAGCAAAGTGAGCTCTAATCGAGAGTGAAAACTTGCCATAATAACCACTGAAGGCACTTCTAAAACACTTGATCATTCATACAATATTTTTTGTTGTTAAATAAGTCCTCTTTTACATGTTCATTATTTTAATTTTTTAATTAGTAAATCAGAAATAGAAGTGAAAAAATTCACTCAAATAGTGAATATTTGTCAACTCTATAGAAGTGTAAAAAACAAACAAGATTTTTCTGGATTTAAATAAATTTATCGGAAGTAGTTCTTACGAAAGAAAAAAGTTGTTTTTTATATAATTTTAATTTGTGTACCACATTACGCTTATGATTATTGTCTTTATTATCTTTTAAATTTTCTATAGATGGCATAGATGTTTCCAGAATTTTTTCAGGCGTTAGTGTCCGATTTTGGCCCTTAACCAACAAAAGAGAAAGTAAAAATAGAAGAAAAAAATCCTAAGTCTTTTAAAAATATCTCAAGTTCTTATTCAGATCATAAAAAGGACTAAATGCAAATTGTCTAATTTCTCAAAATGTCAATATTTTATCTCATAATTGGCCCTAGACAGCACAATAGAAGTAAAATAATAAAAGAGTTTCTCATATATTTTCTGGAAATTACGTTTTGTTTTATTAATTTTCGCAGATTTTATGTTTATTAGAAAATATAACTAATTAAAATTGTAAGAATAATATTATAACCTCCCGTAATCTCAATATTGGACGAATTAATTTTATACGAAAATAAGACGAAGACACAAGTCCGCTGAATATGGAGAATAAGGCATTACGCTGTTGTTTTTAGCTAAATGTTGACAAAAATCAAGACATGATCGATATGAAATATTTCGTCACAAATCCTGTTGTTGTTGTTTTTTTTTTTTGGTTTTTTTTTTTCTGGTATCACTCCACGATTGTAGAGCCACTCATATTTCAAACCATTAAGCCTATTATCCTTACGATTAGGGAAAACTTTGTTCTACACTCACCTTCATTATCTACCAAACAAGCATAAATAAGTTTTCCATTACAATAAGCCTAATGATCTATTACGAAACACATTTATGTAAAAATGTAGAATTCAAGACATGAAGTCCCTTTAATGAATTAAATTACTTTAAAATTATGCCAGTATTATTTTCAATTCAACAGTTCAAAAGGAGTATATTGCGTGTAAGTTCCGTGTCCGAAAAAGGTGGAAGCACAATGTTAAAGAAGGACAGATGGCAACCCTAGTTAATACACAGAAATTGTGTAGCCGTAATTTCTCGTAGCCGTTACTGATATGAAAAAGTACGTTACAATATAGCATCACCAGTTTATTGTTTCAAGCGAAAAATACGTTTTCCAAATGAATCACTCATTTAATGTCAACTTTTCCTTACAAAAACGTTTCGAGAGGGCATATTTGCAATACTAGAGAGAATCGTTACACTCCTTTCGCAAAGAACATTCAGTAATACCGTCAGAATACAAGCGTGTCTGACAAATATCTCCCCAATTTCTTCAGTAGATCTTTTAACTTAGTCTAAACCAATCCGCTCGTAAGCATTCATTACAACACTCAGTTCAGCGTTGCAGTTTATCTGACACATATGGAGAGGCTCCGGAAGTGTGAACCATCTTGTTGATTACGTCCCATAGAAATCGTGCTATCAGTATTGAAGGTACTCGAAAATAAAAATAAAAAGTTCTCAAAACATATCGTACTTCGCTTTCAAAATTTCAATAAAATGTCGTGGTCAATAGATTCAAATTCGTTGCTAAAATCGAGGATAAAAATTGTAATTTTACCGTTGTCCATTGTATTTCTAGCATCTTCAATCACACTAATGAGCGCAGTTCCTGTGCTTTTACAAGATCTAGAGCCTGAGTAATTTTTGTGGATGCGAGCTGTCTTCAGCCGTATGCTAGTGTGTAGACACAGGCTGTCGAATTGCAAGGCAGCTGCCAGTCCTGTGTGCTGAAGTGGCCTTGCTGTTGCAGAGGGCGAGCGTCAAGGCCGAGCCTCAGCATCAGAGGGTGCAGGTCATCGCGTGGGCCTGCTAAGCCCCGCGCCTCCACGGCCTCCTGTTCGCGGCCCCGCCCAAGCACCGCCGCCGCCCCCGCCTCCTTCAGGCGTGGGTGGGGCCGTGGTCGCCACCGCCACTGCCCGCCGCCTCCTCCCCCGTCCCTCGCGCCGAGCCCCACTCCACATCTTGCCATCGAGGTGAGTGCCACTGCGATTTTCACGTCACTAAAAATTAATATTATGTATGGTAATGGAATTGGGTACTGAAAAAAACACGACTTATGTTTTCTACGCCGTTATCTACAAAATGAGAATTTTTTGGATATACTATTTAATGTTCTTCAAAATACTTTCCTCGCATGTTGTCAAATACATTGGAAGTTGGGATCCTGTGTGAAGTTATTTTCTTTTTTTAAACAATTATTTAAAGGTACGGTTTTTTTATTTTTTGCAAAAACTCTTTTGAACCCCTGTATTACTCTCATTTTTTTAGTGTCCGCTGTCCTGGATTCTCTAGCTATGCAGAACTTTGCGTTTCATCCATTAGGGGAGCCGTTTGCCTCTATTGTCCGAATGATATTTGTCTAAATGAGAGCTAGGGTAGGGTGGAGAGATGTTGCCACTTACTCGAGCGGCAAACACGTGGTTCTGTGTTCGTTCTCGCATTAGATCACAACAGCAGCAGCAGTAGCAAGAAACAAATTAAAATAAGAGCTGATAACAGTGGACGACTCAAAACTGCACACAGGATGCATAACCAAAAAAGTAGTGGTACCCGTCAATTTTCAGTTGCTTCGCGCTATTAGATTTCACATTTCTCTTAATATGCTATTGGCAACTCTGCAGTGACATCATGAGAATTTGAAGCATCAGATTGGATAAAGGAACCCCATCTCCCCTGCCGCTATCAAGTAGAGAGAAATATTATTCAAAGAAAAGGGATCGACATAACGTTCTCATCCTTTTTATCTGTTACTTCAGGCGTTCCGTGGCTCTATAAGGACGATATTGATAAAAGTGGAACCAACATTTTCTATTCATATAAACGTCTATAAAATTAAGTTTTCTTACTTCAAAAAAATTATTCCAATGTCTGACATTACGGCAAACTCAATTACTAGTAGAACTGTTTTTTTCTTTACGAGTAAATGAAGACCTTGGAGCAATAACATGTTATGCCACATTTCTGATGAAATTGAGATATTTGTGTTTTTCGATGCTTCATAGAAGTATCTAGATGGTGGGTTTTTATTTCAAAGATTCGCCTTAAGATGGCAGTGTAATTCATAAATTAATGTTCTTTATCCCACCACACAGAATGCAATGTCAAAACATTTACTCCGTTTTCTCAAAACTTACATGTACTGGCATAGCATGTTATTTCCCCAAGGTCTTCAATTGTATAATAGGTCCAAATCTCTATAGTACTTTATACAAAGTTTTCATAATGAACACAAAATATCCCATATTTTCGTTTGGGTGTAATAATATAAGTGTTCAAGGGGCAAAATTTTAGAATGATATGGACAAATCATTTAGAACTTTGCATTTATAGTGACTGTCTACATCATGATAAACAATTATTATTAGGGTGTGGATTTTAATGAAATGCAATTTTTTTTCTTTTCACTTTAGAACATTGCTGTTTAGTATAGAAATTCTTTTATATTATAACGAAATGACCCATTTTTATACGTCATTGTTTTGCATTTTTCGTGGATTTCGACTATTAAGCCTTTTTTTATCTTTTACAATTTTTACTGCATTTTCCGCTTATTTAATCGACCTTTAGTAGTACTAATACAAATGATAAGTGGCTTTGATCAATTTTTTACGTATTTTTTCTTTGTTTTTAGAGCATTTTAAGAGCATTCGTTGATCATTTTTGGCACAGTTTTACGTCATCTAAATCCGCCCCCAATTATTACAATACGTAAAGATGACGAGCCCAGTGTCGTGTTCGCAGCCGCCGAAGGAGGAGCTGCCGGAGGCGCCGCCGGGCTTCTTCGGCGAGGACCCTTTCGACGCCACTGGGCCCTTCTACGGCTTCAGCGAGGAGCCCTTGGCGAGGTGGGTGCTCCGCAACTGCTCGCGTTGCCCAAACGTCTTACGCAAATCAGACATACATTGGGATTGTTGAAGCGGATGTCATGCTACTTCTTTATTTTATGTAAAAAGAAATTGGGTTATTTTGGTCGCTTTATGAGTTAACAACGGGAAATGTACCTGACTTTCTTAGTTGCCGTATATAAGGTACATATTCGATAAAGAGGTTTGTTTCTTACTACACCAGAGAAGTATTAATTTCGTCGCACAGCTTGCCAATACTATAAACTTCGGCATTCACCACTCACTGCTCGGCATATCAATCTCCCTAAAACACCCCCAGCCTTCTCGGCTGTGACGCCCGTGCTTTGAGCGGGGGGCTCGCTGGCCAGCCCAGTGGCGCCCGTGGCGCCAGCGTAAAGGAGTTACCTTCGGTGTTGGCTCTTCTTGACCCGTGACGACCACCTCTGGCGCGCGCTCTCTGCTGACGGCCGAAATAGACTCCCTGTTGCCTCAGCTTTATCATGGCGGTTTGTGTAAATGGTCGTGAGTGACGGTAAAAACGCTTCGTGTAACCATGCAATCGCATTAAATACACGAATCCTACAATTGCTTGCACCATTAGGATTGTACTTTAAAAGTTAATTTACTTCAAAGCTTCACCTCTAAGCTGGGGTATGTATATAGTGGCGTTTGAGACAAGCTCCAAAACCCCACAACACCCACACAGCGTCGGCGAATCCAGAGAAAATAACCGGAGCTCAAGCGAGCTGAGCAAATTAATAAGGAAACAGCGCTTAGTTCCTGCCCGCGGCGCGATGGCGGCGACTTCCAGCTCACGAAAAAACGCGAAAGGGTTCGTCGTTATGTGTCACGCTACCAATAAATAGCGGAGCAGCTGACTGAATGTTCACCTTTATGTACGAGTCGCCGAGGTGAGGGGTCCAGTGCGGTCAGACAGAGCGGTAGTAATTAGAGAGAGCAGCGTTTTGATGAGAGACGTCACAGAGGTTGGACGTGCGTAGAGAGCTAGATCAGTGAGGATTATGAGAAGCAATTTTGTAGAAAGTACGGTACGAAGTGATTGTTCAGGCAAAAGAATCGAAGGATAGCAGAATATTCAGCCTTCTGAACTGTGAAGTGTAATATTGCATAAAGACGGTGGAAATAGTGGAGTAGATAATACGAGGCGGAGTAGAGGCCGCGAAAGCGAGAACTGAGAGCTGTTGAGAAGCGTCAGTAGAACTGTGCAGTTAGCTACACGATTAAGAAGGTTTGTAAAGAACGCCAGAAAACCGATACACCGTTAGAAAACGCGCGTGAGGACTTTGTAATACGCGTCGGCATGCCGCATACGAAGAGCGCGAAGAAAGAAGCAGAGGCGAGGATTCAGGTGCCGGACGTGGTCAATAGGCCAGAGACGAAAGAAGATTGTACGTGGATCTAGTGGCAGGAGAGAAAGAAGGCGGCGTTTTTGAGCGGCATCGCGGACGGCTGATCTGCGAGGAAGCGAAGCTACGGTGCAACCGGAAATGGGCGAAGGTCATGTAGACGGCGATGCAGAACTGTTTGCAAACTGCGCGGTGAACTCCCGTCAAAGGTAACAGAAATTTTGTAAAACGATTAAAAGCCGATAGAGACTTGAACGTTAGAGTAGCAGCAGAAAGGCTGTGATTGTAAATCACGTAAAATCTAGATAACGGCAAAGCAATTGAAAGAACCTCGTACGCCGATAATGCAGTACATTCTAATGATAAATGTCACAAGAAAAATTGTGTTAGTCTTTGCTCCTCAATTTTGTGTATTCTTGACGAGAAAAATTGAACTGTAAATAATTGCAGTAAGTAAGCCATTCAATAACGTATTCTGCTTAAAATCTAAGAGTCTGTGTAGAAAGAGGGATATAATTTTCTTGTACTCAGTGATAGTTAATATTTGTGGTTAAAACGGTGCTGGTCAAGCAATAGTTGCCATGCACGGGTATTTGTTGTAACATAGTAGTGAATTAAAAAAAATTAATCGAAACAGAATGAGTAAACCACAACAATTTTTAAAGGATGTGAACGTTTTTTTGATTTCATATTGAATATTGGTGTGCAATTTCATATTTGTGATTTTTATGTATTCTTTGTCTGTGCTGATATACATGTCATATTCTATAGAATATACGTACTGTTTTTATCTAATTCTGGGTCTGGATGTAAATCTTTCTCATACCCCAATAGATCCTGCCCCTTGAGATTACAAAGCTCGTTCAGAGCATTATTTCTAGCGCCGGCAACTAGAGGCAAGCGTTTATATATAAAGTGACATCTCGTGAAAAAAAAATTGAACGGGTGGCGATTAAAATACAATTTCACCATTTCGAAGAGTAAGTTCTAAGATGCATAAGTAACACTCCGTAAATTATTATCTAGATTTCAATTTATTCACAAAGTAGTGTATGTAAGAATTGTTGTTGTTTTTTCAGGTGTAGGGAACTCAGGGAAATCTTTGCTAAGACGATTGCATGCGTTGAAGAGCAGGTGCAACTCAAACAGCTAAAAGACAGCGAGTGCTCTGATGGGAAAAGTGGTTTACAAAAGGGTAAGGCCAGTTTTAGTATCTAGAATAAATGTACTAGGTCTTCATGTAATATTATCAAATACCTAAAAAACATTTATTTTTAGTTTAAATAAAAATACATAATACTTGGAATAGTGGACTCCGTCTTACGCTGACGCAGGTTCCAAAGAAAGCTGCTAAAAGATGATCGTCTTATGGAGGTTATTTCAATATAAAAAGTGGGCTTCTGGTCAATGTTTGATATTTACGATGATAACAGACATTCTTAAGGATTCTGTATTTAATTCCAAAAAATATAAACTAAATATGACGTATGGCGAAGGATTGTAATGTGTTCACCCTTCAAAATCTGTACCCTCACTCTTTATATATTAATTTGATTTTAAATACTGATTACACCCTTATAGTGACGCCTTTATATTTACACTTTCTTTAAAAAAACACCGAAAACTATTTAATTTGCGCACTTACGGAAAGAAGCATTCAATTCCCTGCATTCATATTATTTTCTTGCGCCTGTTCTTCCTCAAATCAAATTTGATACCAAGCTAGATTTGAAGCCACAGTTTACAATCCAGAGAGACTAAAGCGTATGCATAAAATCCATCTATCATGAAGTAAAACAAAAAAACTTAGGTTAGGTATAAAATAAAAAATAAATAAAACAGAAACTTTTTCTCTAATGTACGAAAGTTGAAAATGAATACTCCCGCAGGAGGATACTGAATGAACAGTAATCACCGCTCTTGCACTTCGTGAAGGCTTAAAATAGCAAAATATAAGAACGTTGTGACCGTTTAACATAAGTCAATCCAAGAAACGTCCTGATTGCTGACCGTCAAGTGACTGATTCAAAAATAAAGTTTTTCAGTGCGCGGTAAGGAAAAGCCAGTCCACAAAAAACATGTTAATGGTTATGGCTACATAAATGATATTCAACCGATTTTCCTATTTATAATGTTCGAAACCACTTTACTTTTTTATTTATCTTAGATATGTGTTCAAAAGAATGAACGAAATAAGAAGAGTCCTTTAAATACAAAATCTTTGTATTCGCTTCTCTGCAGATACTTAATTTTTTCTAAAATTTACATTAATATTAACACAAGCTTATTATGATATTTTACAGCCAAAAATACCCTTGTGCGGAAACCGAATCGCTGGTCTGACAGCGAATTACAACTTGTATATCCAGTTGACGATATTGGCGTTGGAGCTGAGACACTGAAGAAGTGTGAAGAAACAAGTCCTCGGTCCTTGCGAATAAGAAAACCAATAAACTATCGGGAGCAGCTCTACAATGAAGATGGGGATAATTCAGAAGAATTGTGTAAGTAGATCAAAAACACAGGAAAATGCACATACATTATGTTAACATTCGTTTACTTTTCTCCAAAATATGAAATTCAACATTTGGCACTTTTTAGTCTGCTTTCATTTATCGTATACATACGTATATATGGAGTAATATAAAGAAAGTTGTGATGCTGCGTAAATCTGATTTCGATATTTCAACGGAAATAAACTTTTAGAGCCCTCTGAAATCTAAAAGTTATTTGTACTTTCATGTCCTTTCTTCGAAAGAAGAGAAAGTGTTGAAATCGTGCGCCGAAAACGACAAATTCGCTGCACTAAGCAGCTGCTCACTCACACAAACTTTGGCCGCCTTCTACAAACATAAATGCCTCTTTCATTAATTCCGACACGCTTTTTTTCGAAAATTCGGAGATAACGAAAATTAGACCTGTGCCGCTCTTGCAAGCATCCCTTGTATTAAATGTGAAAATTTATTTTTAAAAAAAACAATGTTGTTGAGCAAATGTTCTTTTCATAATTTCAATTAAATTCTACCAAAAATTTCGGGAAAACTCGTTTTTTCAAAAGTTGTATATGGCCTCTAAATAGCTGGTTTGTTAAAAAAGCTTTTTTTAAGCAAAACATTCTTGCAGCAACTTTTGTGTGTGTCTTCGGGGGCCCTATGAGCTACCCCTCCCCCACCTTGGTTTTGCCTCCACGTACCAATAAGTAGAGTTTGCGCGAGGTATCAGTGCTCTCGAAGCGCGCGCTAATCTGAGGGGAGACACTGCGCAGGTGCGCATATTTAGACTATTTAGACGTACTATCCTGCTCAGAAAACATCGGGTAGCCTATGCTGGGAAATGTAATCGTCCAGAAACTTGTTTAGTTTGAGTAATAAGTTTGCTTCATTGCTTTTCTTGTGAGTTTTCATACCCTAAATCTAAATTTAATTTTGCTGTGGCAAGGCTGCCCGTCGGAAGACTAGAAAGTTGATTTTTTTTAGACGGCAATCGTTTTAGCCGCCTTAGTGCTCTGTGACTTCAATCGAGTGGACAGATTCCCGACGCATAATCTACGATGCTGAGGATTAATTTCCAATTTAATTTTTTTAACAGATTGTAAGGGGCACTGCTATCCAACAGGGAGCTTCAATTTTTGAAGTTCAAGCTGCCGACTGGATAACAGTGCCCCCTCTTCTAACTCATGTAGTACAGAAAAAATTAAGGTCCTGGGCACACAAGCGCTGCATAGCGGACATTTCGTCCATGTCCTTACGTTCGTCAACACTCCGGACACAAAAGCGGAGTGCAACGGGCATCACGCAGCGTGCTCGTTTGCCATGTCCCGTTTATAACTTTTAACTCTGTAACGGACGTACTTTAGCGTTCGTTCACGTGCGCTTGTGTGTCTCCGGCCTTATAAGCCGAATGGCTGCAAGTATTGATACTTCAAGGCCGCGAGTTGGAAGGCGAAGGGGGCATTGCCATTCAATCGGGAGCTCCAATACCAAAACTCAACGAACCTCCCGATTGGCTGAGCGTGTCCCCTCCTCGTGGCCTTGAAGAGCCGTTGTGTGCCAATCGGCGGCGACGCGTGCGCAGCGTGCGACGAGTGCGGGTTCGCGTGGCCGGGCGAGTGCGTGGCGCACGGGCCGCTGACGCCTGTGGAGAACGCGCGCGTGCCGGCGGCGCTGGCGGCGCGCGCGAGCGCCGAGACGCGCGCGGCGCTGACGGCGCCGCCGCAGCTGGCCGTGGCCGCCTCCGCCATCCCGCACGCCGGGCGCGGCGTCTGGGCGCGCGTCGCGCTGGCGGCGCGCCTGCGCCTGGGGCCCTACGCCGGACGCCTGCTGCGCCGCGCCGCCACGCCCGACTACAGCTGGCAGGTACGCAGGCGCACCAACGCGTTCCGGGTGCTTCAACTGCGATGGTCATTAGTCACGTAAAGGTAGTGACCTTCCGACGGCTAGCAGGATTATCCCAACCAGGTATCTCCCACCAGCGGGACACCGATGCAGCCGGGACAAGCTCTGAGCTCCCGGCATGTGTGGAGGGTAGTACATGTAATCCTGTGAGTAAGTAAAGTGTAGGGTAGGGCAAGGAAGAGGAAGGAAAGATGGATCGCTGTTCGTGTCTGGTTTGTTATGGTACTGTTCCGGCATTCGCCTGGTCGGAGATCGCAGAAATCTACCGATCAGAGCAGCCGGCCACTAGAATGTTCCTCCAAACAGCGACAGAACTTGACCTCGCTATCTAGTGCCTGATCTAGACAGTGTCGTAAACCTTGCCACAGCCGAGACTCGAAGCAAGGACCTCTCGATCAGAGGCAATGCAGTGACATCAGTTGATGCCTTGACGCACCGGTGCATTAATCCTGTTTATGGGCGCGTCGACTGCTACAGTCATTCGTCCTCATTGATGTAGAGATCCGGGAGGTGATGATAATCCACACCCGCCGGATGGTGAGACCCGATGCCCACTAACATGTCGGCTTGCGGGTGGTTTGTTCCTCCAGATATCTCCCCCAGTGGAGCCTCTGCGGACAAGCTCCGAGCTCCCAACCGGGAGAGATAGCTCAGGTCATCAACTGATGTCCCGCAGTCGCTCTAATCTGGAGGTACTAGGTTCGAGTTCCGACGGTAGCAGGATTTTCGACACTAACTAGACAGCTAGGTCGAATTTAGACGCTGTCTGGAGGAGAATTCTGGCGGCCGGCTGCTCTGATCGATAGTTTTCCGGGGTTCCCCTGATTAACACCAGGCGAATGCCGGAGCAGTTCCCTAACAAACGGACCGCGCGCGATCTGCTTGTGCGATCTTCTTCTTCTTCTTGGTCCTGTCCTCACCCCTTACACATGCACTACACTGCCACACATGCCGGAAAGACCGGTGGGGAGCTCAAAGCCTGTCGTGCTACTGGAGTGGAGAGTGGAGTTACCTGGTTGGGGGTAAGCCCCGTAAGCAGACGGGAGGTCGGGGCCGGATCAGGCCGTACAGCGGGGGAAAGATCACCGCCTCCTTCCGAGCAAAAGCATGCATTACACTTACGGGACCCTGGTAGTTGACGTGCGCGGAATCACTAAACAATCACTCAATCCAAGCTCCCGACATCTGTGATAGTGAGGCTAAGAGAATGCTGTGAAAAAATGTAGGAAAGAAGAGAGAATTAAGTAAGGAAGAGGAAGAAAGTATCGTGTACAGTGCACAGCCAGTTTGTTGGGGTACTGATCTGGTATTGATAGAAGAAAACACAAAAGTTTCCCAATCAGAGTAGCCTGCCTCTAGAATGTCCCTCCAAACAGTGATTGAATCTCACACAGCTATGTTGCTAGAGTCGAAAATCTCTCACCGTGGGGAATCAAACTCTACAATCTCCCGTTCAGAGACGTTCTAAGTCAGCGGCAATGCTGTGGCTCTGAGCGAAAGTAAGCCTTTGCAGCAATAGACGCGTCTGTGAATAAATGATGGAAATAAATGTTTTTGTTGGTGAAGAAGCCCATGCCCATTGAGCCCACTCTTCCCCCTGACAATTTCCAAAAGTTAATTCAAATATATCCCGCATAAGTAATAGCAGGTAGTTGTTGATCCCAATTTGTGAATAGCAGGTCATTCAAAGAAAATACGATCTGAGGAGGAAAGTGTTTTTTACAAGTGTGACAGGAATGAAAAGAGTTGATGGAAAAGGTACGTTCTCATAGCACTTTGGAGAGTTCATTTATTAACTTCTTTTGAAATGAACTTAAAATTAACCAAAACCATGTCTAGAGATTACATTAGAATACTCTGTGAGTGTTCTCAATAATGTAAAATTACGTTTAAGCAACTCAGCAAATGATATATTAAACTTCTTCATTCATTTTATTTATTTATCTATTTATTTATTTATTATGAAAGAGCAAAGGATTGAAAAATAGCACAGGTTCCACGTTCAATGAGCTCCCTGAAAGTTCGACACTTATAAAAGTAACAAATAACGCGAGGAAGTATTTGCTCCACGAGTCGTAACCAGGAGTGGCGCGCGCGTTGGCAGGTGTGGGTGGGCCGGCGGCTGCGGTACGTGGACGCGGGCGACTGCCGCCACGCCAACTGGCTGCGCTTCGTCAACTGCGCGCGCAACGTGCTGGAGCAGAACCTGGCGGCGTTCCAGTGGCGCGGCGCCATCTACTACCGCACCAAGCGCGCCATCCCGGCGCACGAGGAGCTGCTGGTGTGGTACGGGGACAAGTTCGGCGAGCGCCTGGGCATCTCGCTGGAGGCGTTCGCGACGCCGCTCGACCACCCCGTGCCCTGTGAGTGCGCTCTTCACGCAAGCCACGCCCACAGAATGGTTGCAAAATGTGGGAGTTTCAACTGAACCCACTCATACATTATTAAAGATACTGATTTTTTTCTTCACGTGAAATTCATTTCCTATGATAAGTTCAGAAATTAATACCGTGTACATTTTTTAAAAAAAATATTAGTTTTTGTAGAATTTTTAGTGAAATTAAAACAATATTAAAAATATTAAATCAAGCTTTTCTGAACAATGGCTCGAAGCGTTTTCTTTATACGTTTTGTACGGATGGCTCTAATTGCCATAAACGTGTTATAAACGAGATTTTGATGTTTTCTTTCGAGTTTTGAAAAATTTGACAAATATGATTAAAATGAAATTACAGATGTACTTTATTGGCTAATACGTTTTTAACACAGGCGCTACTCAATCTCTTAAATATTGTTTTTTCAAAAATCTGTAAATATGTTAGGAACTAAAAATTGCAGATTTTTAAAATATTTCGAACAAAATTTTGTCAAAAATCGCAGAACGTTTTCTCAAGACTATTATTCCCTATTCCAAAAAACTTCAATTATCTACTATATTCTGAAAATTTGATTTTTACTAAGACATTTTGGGCCCGAAAAATTCAAAATATATTGAAAAACGTGGGTGTTTTAATAAAACACAATAAAAATTCCTATTATACAAAAACCTAAAATTCACCATTCCGGAAATTGAAATGTACTCTAAAGCTCGTGTCATTTTTCCAAAAGGAAGACGTGAATTTTGCGTCTTCACGCGCTTACGAAAAGATTATGGCTCAATATCGGTTGTATTGGCAAGAAATTTGGATCAACTGTTTTTTAAATTCTTGAAAGGTACATTGATTTTTTGAAACACATCATGAAAGTCAGTCCTTGATTAATTTCATTCAAGTAATTTAAAATTTAACCTTCGTAAAGGAAATTGGATGAACTGTGTTCATTCACAGGGTCGAATGTTTCAAGGATTCGGCATACTGAATGTAACATTGAAACAATAATATAAGTAGTGTGGTATATTTTCTCTCATAGTTTAACACTAATGTAGTGAATGTATTTCTGATGCGGTATTAATTGCTTTATTAAAGTGAAGTGGATTGCTGTTGCGATAAGATATTCTTTTTAATATAAATTTACCACTTTCATGTGCGAGTCTTGATTTATTTTATAGGTAAATTTAAAGAAATCAATTTGAAGCCGTTTAAAGAACAAAAATATGAAGCTCTTGAAAAGTAATAAGGACCCCTTAAAATTAAACGATTCCGTTTTAATTCGGAAGACTTTATGTTGGTCACGTCGATTGCATTTTAAATTGTATTTGATTTTTTTTCAAAAGTTTTATATTTGTTTTGCTGTTTTTTTCGGCATAAAATAAATTTTACAGCACGATAGAAAGTAAAAGAAGTAAACAAAATGTTTAATGAGCATTTTTATATTTTTGCAGATAACAAGTTTAGCTGTGACATTTGCAAAATTTCATTTCATAGCCCACTGGGTTTGCAGGAGCATTTATGTAACTTTGATGATCAAGAGTCAATGCACAAATCAAATCGGCTCTCTACAGATTCATTCACAAGACAACGAGATTCTTATGGATCAAATGATGAACATGAAGAAATTTTAAACTTGAATTTTCTTTTGTTGGCGAATCATGAAGGTGAAAATGTGTGTAAGAATACTGTTGAATTACAGTCTTTAACAAAACATGTAAATCAAGATTTTATGGAACAGGAAGAGAACGAAATTGAAGAATACTGTAGTCAAACTGCCGACAGAAGTGAAAAACCTAATTTTTCATACGATGTGAAAAATATTCGCGAAAAGACAGAAGAAAACCTTAACAATCAAGCTTTCCAAGTACATCAAGTATCGTACAGTGACTTAAACACTGAAGAAAATATGTCCAAGGCGAACGAAACCAATGACAAACTGAATGATTGCGAGTTTTGCAAAGTTAATTTCAAAAGTTCCACTATGCTGAAGAGACATATTACCACCATACACAACGGAAAACCTCACAAGTGCACATTGTGTAAGGCTACATTCAAAAGGAATGCTTTTCTGAAAAAACATGCCTTGGTTCACAGTAACGAAAAGCCCTATCATTACGATAAATGTGATAGAAGCTATAAAGAACTACAGTCTTTAAAAAGACACTGGAATAATAATCACAAAGAAATATACAATAATATTGACGCATCTCTTGGTTATCTAGAAAACAAATCTCTTCATAATACTAAAAAATCACCTCAAAAAAACATTTCTAGGGCTGGAATTTTTGTGAATAATAGAATTAAGCCAACTTTCAATTGTACAAGCAGAAAACAAATTACCTGTAAAAAATGCAATGCAGTAGTCACTACATTCGCATCTCTCACTGTCCATAATTACGTCCACTCTCCTAAGGGGTCGTACAAGTGCCCTATTTGCGGTGCTAAATTCAAGTATCTGTCTTCTCTGAGATTCCATTTCAGTACTCATGATGTAGAGAAAAATGGTGATAAATTTTATCGGTGCTATGTTTGCAATGACGAGTGCGAATCAGCTGAAAGTTTGAAAGTTCATATTTTAAAACACAAAACTGCAAAAATATACAGATGTCAGACTTGTGAGGCTACATTCAAAACGCCCCATGGCCTGATATGGCACTGTTATCGTCATACGGGTGAACGACCATATCAATGTCCGAAATGTGCTGCAGCATTCGACAGACCCCGACTTCTCTCAAGGCACAAATTAATTCATTCTGATGAGAAATCTCTGATTTGCGACGTATGTAAAGCTCCCTTCGTAACGGTATCAGGTTTGAAAAAACACATGGTAATCCATCAGGGCGATAACCCGTATCGATGTGAAGTTTGCAACGCAACATTTACTAAATCCTGGAGTTTGAAGATACATATGTATTATAGACACACTAGTAACAAACCACATAAATGCGAAATTTGTAACGCTAGATTTGTCTACAAATGGAGCCTCAAGCGACACAGTTTCACTCACTCAGAGAGAAAAACACAGAGTTCTCAAGTTCAGAAAACTGAGAAAAAATTTCAATGTCATGTGTGCGACAAGGTATTTAAGAGAAAATCAACTTACGAGACTCATCAAGTAACTCATACTGGTGAAAGACCTTATGAATGTGATCTATGTAAGAAAGCTTTTACGTTAAAGGCGACCTACGCGAAACATATAGAACTCCATACTGCAAAACCACATCAATGTGCAGAATGTGGAAAGAGTTTTGAAACAGAGGATAGTCGCGAGGCGCATATGAGGATCCACACTGTAGAAAGGTCCTATTCCTGTGATGTTTGTCGGAAGTCTTACTGTCACAAGTCCAGTTTAAATGAACACAGACGTATCCACACAGAGCAACCGTTGAATAAAACAGGTGCAAAAATGTTTACTTCGTCAACTAAACACCAACGAAGGGCGACTTTGTGAGCATCATGTGATTGCAACGTCATTTGGAGACAGACGATCCAAAGCCTTTCACGGAATCATAGTGTTAAGATGTCTTGCACTAGGGAATTATGTGTATTTCTATTAGTTTAAGTGTCTTATTTACAAACTCAATGTAAACTACCTCTCTTATAAGTAACTATAAAATATCTATAAATAATCATATTGAAAATGTTTTAGTACCAACTGACATAAATATAACTTTGTTTTTATCCATGACAATATTCTATATTTAAATATTTACGTATAATTTTTTGTTATGTAAAAATGAAATGCTTAATAAAAGTTGGCATTTTCCATTGCATCGTTATTTACTTTTATGTGCCAATCCCAAATTTTTTGGCCGACCCAGTCGCATGTAAGGCAGTCGACAGTCTTGGTAACCGATTTGTGTAATAATTGTCCCTTTGTTTTCCATGCGAAGAGCCGTTGATGGTGTTTGCGAAATAGAATGCAATGTATTCCGCTTAGACATGTAAAACTAACACAGCAATCAGAATGCGAATCCAGAATTGCGCCTCCATCCTCCAATATGTTTTATCGCGAAAAACGAATGGGATTACTAGATTTTGGTGTTTTATAGCATTATACTCTACAGAAGCCAAAAGTTGTCAGATCCAAGACTTGACACATGTTTCTCTATGTATATCGACGCGCTGAAATCGAATCCGAAGCCAGAATTGCGCCGCTACTTTCGTTGTTTTCTTTATCGCGAAAAAACACCATCACATTTAAAATATCTGGGTCTATCAGGCCTGACAACAATTCCGAAAACAAAAAATACAATTTCACGGTGTTTTTTTGTCATTAAAAGAACTGGAGGATGGAGGTGTAGTTCTGGTTTTAGAATCGGATTCAGCGCGTCGACATACATAGAGACACATGTGTCAAGTCAAGTCTAACAACTTGTGTGCCTGAGTAATTTTAAATTTTTGGATGAAAGTAAAATGGAGATTTATGTATTTAAACGTCATCGTCATCTTCATACGGATCCAGAAGACTTATTTACATAACGTTTTTTTTATTTATAACGAATCGTATACACAGTTCAGTGTTTATAACATATTCATTGGTTTTACGCCCATTACATCCTAAAAATCTAAAATATTGCTTTATAAATATTCTTCATTAGGGAGCAAAGACTAAGTCAGAAATGATTTTTTCATATTATCAAGTAGTACCTTATGGTCTCTTTTCCGCGGTTTTGATGCGATGGAGAGACCATTTGGGGTGAATACCAGAATTCGAAAGATTAGAACGCGAAAGGATGTAGGTATTGTAATGGCTTAAAAGCCTTAGGCCTAGCCACATAGGATCAAGTAAGCTAATTTGTTTGTAATAATTACCTATTAAATAAAAATAAATAAAATAAATATTATCAAGTACAAAACAAGCACGCGTAGAAAAATATATTTTTAATTAATACATGATTGTTTTTTATTGCCTTCAATACAAAGTTAGATATACACTGTAATAACTTAGCTGAATCGTAAGTATAGGGTTACAAGGGAAATATGAAAGCTGAGTCAAGTTAACAAATAGTTAATTAGTAAATAGGTATATCTGAATAATTAAAACTACGTAAAAATAAAAGCATGCATGTAACACGCGTTAACTGGTTCTAATGATCTCGGGCGAGAAAAAGCCCTCAGACCTTTTGCCGCCGCTAGATCATTAGAGCCCTTTTAACGCCCTTTAGGCGTAAATATTGGATTCTCACGCAGTTTATCTGAGTGTTTCGCCCAGTAGCAGTAGCAGTTTCACAGGGAAGGAGTTCTCATCATATAATATCTTCGTTTTAATGTAATTACTGAATACTATTTTTGCTTCGATGTACGTGGGAAAATGTATATACTTTTAGTTTATTATCAGATAATTGTTTAAAATGCGCGCGCTTTTTGTGCAATGTAAAACTCGAAATCATTTTCAGCAGGAATCCTCAGCGCTTCCTTGTGTGGTAATCGTTCATACCACAGCGCTGCAGCGGGAAGAAGAAACTTTCTTAATGTAAATCTATAGCCTGAGGAGAGGAATTCCTCCTGTGAACTGCCTTCTCTTGCCGGCTATATGAATCACCTGGGCTTTCACACGCGCGTGAGTCATGTCTGGTTATGCCCAATTCAAGGATATAGACGTACAGAGAGACACGATGCAATCTCATCTCACACTGTGAAAGAAGCGCCGTATACTGGCAGAAACCCAGGTAAAAAGATTCATCGGACTAATACGTGTCTCCCTCCTTTTTCCAATCTCAGGGCGACAAACAGATCGATTACTTCACAAAATATTTTGATATTCAGTAAGTGAAGAGAAACAGTCCAAAGAAAATGTGTTCTTCACAACCATATTCGTGTGATGACAGAGAGAACTGTACTGTACTGTTTTGAGGTTGTTTTCTAAAGTTACCAATGTTTTGTAATACTGAATAAATGGTAAGAGTGATTTTTAAAAATAGTTTCGACTATTTGAAAAAGTCCGTTTAGAAGAACATATTGCTGCTGTACAGAAAGGACGACCAGTTTTAGCACGACTGGAGCTTTTACAATGACACCACCAAGGGAGTGAAACTGCAGTTTTCTACGATAAAGCATCTTGATGTACATGACGCGGTCAAAGGCAAATTCTTCTGTTTTTTCCAACATTCTAGCCTCAAATTCGAGGAACGTTTGGTCAGAGATAATAACAATTTTGGACGTAGAATTGAGAGGGACCGTAACATCGTTATTGTTCATAACAATTGATACTTTTTGGTAAAAAATATAATACCGCATTATTCTGGAGTTAAGCAAAGCAGCCAGTTTTTCGCTCAAAACACAATGTTCACGTTAAGCTAGATCGACCGATTTCTTTCAGTTTAATTGACATTCTTTGTGTAACTGAATGACAAATATCACTACATTGTTGTAAGTTTCATTTAATGGAGTAGTATTTGCATCTGGCTTCTTTCCTTCTCTTTGAGAAGGCGTACGAGCCGGGCCTGCTCAATAGCGGAATAATGCTGTGGATAAAAGGTTATTACACAAACTGGGGGATAACATAGTCATGCCACATGTATGCACTTCTTATTTTTAAATTTGGTGCCAATCCTTTGATCCAACGATTACAATCTCTTCTTGGACCATTAGTGCCCCAGAGCTACTCTTTCCAACATGCTTCGGACCAAATCGAATCGATGCTCGTGCATTTTTTATTCCTGTGCCTCCAAGATGAATTTTAATTTTCGCAAATTTATGAAGATTAACAAGAACATTTAGGCCAACGAAACTTACGAAGCAATATAGTACACCATTCTCACTTGGCGAACGTCACTAATTCCTACGAGGGTAGGAACGCCAAAGATTCTAAAGTCTCTCATATTTCTAGCCGTTTGATGGAAATACAAAAAGAACCGTTGCATGTGATTTCCAGATGTTTCGCCGTGTGGTAACCTGTTTTCTCACTATTGTCATCGGTTACAAAATTTGCATTATTGAAAGTCAGAGAGCCAGGACGTAGCAATCTCACTGCTGTTAAGGTTTGCCATGATAAATGAGAGGAAAGCGAAACGCCATCCAGTTCCCCGCACGCAAATTGTTAACTCAGTTAGTAAATGGATAACTGGTGTTATCTAAGATTATTTTAACATTTTTAGTGCTGACAACAATAATTTAACGGGAGCCGAATATGCGCATCAACGATTTTAAAGGGCCGTGAATAAGTGAGTCGTATTTACAGGTCCAGCTTCCGCATTATTTCCTCAGATGTTCACCCAACTCTTTCATGTTGTTTGAAGGCTTAACGCTTGGTAATATGATTAAAAATTCATTTTAGTTGTATTTCTTTACAAAATTGTTGAATTTTCAATACGCAGGGGCACTGGTTGCAGTTCGTAGGAATTTTTTCAGAATTACCAGTCTTTAAGGCTAAATATCCCGACACTAGTACAATTTGTGGCCACCACGTGGCAGCACCAAAATAAGTAAAATTTACTTTACCGATAACGTCTGAACCAATGGTCCGATTTTCGATCTGTAAACTGCATTTGACGCCTTTTTAAAATAGAATTAACGTTACGAAGCCCTTTTTCCAAAAATCTAGCAAAATCTCGAATTTGAAATTAGTTCTCAAACTTCCGAGAACAAATTTAAAAAATGTGGGCTTATAGCGCGATGGCGACATGCTTCCTGAATACACGCCGTGACAATCATGCAAATCGTACGAATAGGAGAGTCGTAAAGTGAAATTTATGAAAACACCTCGCCCCCTTCCCCTCCTGCGCCGTTGTGTCACCCACCTCTTTGTTGTGGGCCCTCTGTCAGCGCGGCGGCGCGGCCAGGCCCGGCGGCGTGCGGCCAGCTCCGACGGAGGAGGCGAGACTTGCGGGACACGCAAGCCACACAATCAGTTTATGCGTTCGTCACTATGCATCTCAGTCTATTTTTCCACGGATATCAAACAAGAGTTTTTATACTACTTTTACAGACCGAGGTAAACGATCTGTAATAGTAGTACATAATTATCTTTTTCACATTTGTTGAGAGAGATACAATCTCGGTTGCAGCAGGGGACTAACAGGCAGATACAGAGAGAGAACACCAAAGCTTTTGTGACTGACCAACGAAATTGTAAAAGTTTTGTACATCTTATGTTTTTAACATGAAAAAAGTGAATTATGAAATATGAATGATTGTCTCTGCGACATATTGCATTGGCGAGTTCTGCAGTTTTCGAATTATATTTTTATGGATCAGTCACCGTCTCTTTGTTTTTCCATTTGCAAGTCATGAGATTAGAGGCAACAAACTCCATTTTCGTCTTTCGAGATGACGGCAGAGATTTTTTGTTGGTGGTGTAAGCGATTCTGATGCAAACCAACGTTGGGAATTCTGATTTTCGTAGTGATTATTTGGAGGATCTAAAAATATTATTGAAAGTAATGTTTACAAACACTTCAATTCATGGCCATTTTGTACTTGAATTATTATGCAGTATACTCCTTCTAT